GAGAGCTACTGGACATAGATTCAACAAAGGAGACAAGGTGTGGTTGTGGAACCCGATTCGACGAAAAGGAGTCAGTCCTGAAATTACAGTCACCTTCGGATGGTCCATAAACAGTGCCTGAACACTGAATGACGTCATGGTTCGGATTCGTAAGTCTTCGAACTCTAAACCTAAAGTCGTAAAACCTGATATTACGACAGGTTAGCTCATTACTATGGCCATAGTACATAATGTAAATAATTATAAATAGTATAAGACCATGGTCCTTTTTGTTTTAAATGTGTAAATGATTGTATTTGATTTGTATTTGATAGCATTTGATTTGTTTTATGTTATTGCATTTATTGTTCATGTTGTTTATTATTGTAATGTAATGCTTATTAATGCATTTATGCCACAGTTGTAAGTTTAGCTTCCTGTCCAGGGATTGTACTGCCCGGGACGTGCAGTCCTTGGGAAGGGGGCAGTGTTACGAATTTGGTATTTAAAAAGCTAATGTTAGTTCAATTATAAATTAAATGGTTTTATTTCTCGCGCAGTGCAGCGCGTGACGAATATTAAAAGAAAGCTAAGCCAGAAGAAAATTGAAAATACAAGAGCGCGTGCATTAAATAAATAAATATCTCTTTTTGATTTCGAGAAAGTACTGGAAAATCTCTAGCGCGTGATTTTAAAATCTTATAAAAGGAGGAAAACATCTCAGTTTGTAGTAGTTGCTTAGTTTGTTGTTGTTTAGAAAACTGCTGTGTTGATTGTAGCGAATTCGCGGATTTAGCGTTCTTTAGCTGTTTTGAATTACGTTCTATTGGACATTTGAGTAGTTAAAGATAACTACTGTGAGATATTGTAATACTGCAGATATAATTTGAGAAAATTAAGCATTTTTGTTGTGTGTGATAATAATAAATTTTTGTTCATTTTCATCGGACTTGTGCATTCATTTCATAACGAACCCGAACCCGTACGCACGCAACAGTATTTTTCTATTCTCCACAACAGTTAGCGTAGGGCCGACTCAGTGGAGAAGCCAGCCTAAAACCGTGTTGGTCTAAACCAAAAGTATGGTTCAGATTATTATCTGACTGGAGGTGTCAGAAAATCAATCGCTGCAACAGCTTGAGCTGGAAGGATGTTAGCGTAATCATTCTAAATGATTTTGGTTTCTCATATGTATCTTTTCCTGGTTTGCGAAGAAACACACCTCGTGAAGTTCTCCACACCTTAGGAACATATCCTAAAACCAAACTGGATTCGAATATGTCCACGAGAATGTGGCCAAAAATATCCCAGCCTTTCTGAAGCAGAATTGGGTAAATGCCATCGTTCCCTGGAGATTTAAAGGGAAGAAATACATCTAAGGCCGCTTTAGCCTTTTCAAAGTTCACTATTGTCTTAGCAAAATCCAAATCTAATGGATTATGAAGTAGTTCCAATGGATTTTCCTGGGGGTCAGAGGTGACACTTGTGTCTCCCAGATGAAAATTCAACATGGTCGAAAGTGTATCCAAAGAGTTTATAGTATAACTGCCATCTAGTCGCATAACCGATGAGAGATGAGACTCCTGAGATCTCTTAATAATCTTATGTATTCTGGCAGTCTCATGGTAGGACAGAATATCTGTGCAGAAGGATCTCCTTGAGTTGTATTTAGTTTTCCTGTTTTCACTTTTAAATTTGTTTTGTAGAATTTTGAAGTTAGACCAGTTAACTTCAGATTTATTTCTGACTGCTTTCCTGTGATCTCTCCGAACCTCTAGGTGGAGGCTTTCAAGCTCCTTGGTCCACCAGACTCTCTTGCTAGAAGAGTACTTCTTTCATTTGAGAGGGCATGATGCATGATAAGATTCAATAATGATATTTGTCAGGTTGTTTGCTTGAGTATCAAGCTCCTCGACTGAACAATTATTGTCTAAAACCTGAAGGTTAATGACATTAGAAACCAGGAAGTCCTTATAAAGGTCCCAATTTGTGTTTTTAATGTTTCTGAAATATTCAGCTGGAATTTCATCTCTAATACAAAATTGTATAAGGCGACGGTCTGAAAGTGAGAGGATTGTCACTTACATGCCAATTCTCAATAAGGTTATAAATATCAGAAGAAGTTAGTGTGAGGTCAATGACTTCTCTTCTTCTGTTGACAAAGGTGGGGTGATTTCCCCTGTTTATCCAAGTTAGGTTGGTATTCATTATAAGTTCCATGAGTTTTTCTCCTCTAGGATTGGTATCAGAACTGCCTCATGATAGGTGGTGAGCGTTAACATCACCACCAATAAACCATTGGAATATTGTTTATTTCACATAAACTCACAAGATCTATAAATTCTTGCAGAATGTTAAGGTCATAAGCCATGTAAACCGAGCAAAAATAAATGTTTCCTTTCAGTGAACTGTTTATGTCCTTAGTTAAAATAGCAATTAAGTCCTCTGATGTAAATTGAGATAATTTCATAGCCTTTATATTTTTAGAAATGTAAATGCTAGTTCTAGGTCTTTTCTTAGGTCCCTCTGATGAAAAGAAATGTGCATTCATGGGCCTACCAAGGATTTTACCCTTGTACACCCAAGGTTCTTGAATTAAGGCAACAAAAGTGCCTTGCTTACCTAATTGAGCAGCTAAATTGTATGAAGCTGCTCTGCTATGTTGCAGGTTTAGCTGACTAACCTTAACCATTAAAACAGGTTAAACAAGATATAAGAACTTATTGAAATGGCCTATGTTGCAATGACAGACGTGGTTGCAAGAGGGTCTGGGAGATTATTTTTAGTGGTTGTGCATGATAGAAGTAAGGAAACGCTGATGCAGTGTATTAAAGAGTGGACTGAGCCTTGTACAACTATTTTTTTGGATGGCTGGAAATCTTACAAGGATTTAGGAAAAGAAGGTTTTGAACATTTATTTGTGAATCATAATATGAATTTTCTGGATAGTGTGTCATATAAATATGATCTTGATTACATGGCGGCATGTTAAAGGCGGTATGAAATTGGTATTTCTGCTGTTCGAAAAAACATTCATTCATGGTAAGTGCATTTTATTTTATTCTTGTTCTTATTTTGTAGAATGGTATGTTAATTGTTTTTTTAGTATGAATTTCTGTTGTTATTATTTTTTTTTTGAATTGTTTGAAATTTGTTTTAGTTATTTTAGTTTATTTTGTCAATTAGTGCATAGTGCATAGATTGTGCAATTCGTAGATGTTTTTTAAAGTTGAAACAGAATGCTGTATACATGGTATTCTTTGAAATTTATTGTTGTTATGTTATTTTATTAAAGCAAGATGTGTATAGTTCGTAAATTCGTTCATTGCCTAGATTTTGCAATTTGTAGATTTTTAAGTTAAAACATATCACTGTGCACATGGATTCTTGTCAAATATTTCTGGATAGAAACTTTACGTTTTTGCTATCTAAATTTTTTGTTTTTGTTTCAGATTTTTAGCTTAAATTGTGTGTTCAAAACATAGTTTTTGCATGTGCGAAAACCATGTTTTTGGAGATATTTTAAGCTTAAAGTTCTAAATGTATACAAAAAATTTAGATAGTTATATGGCAGTATGGAGTTTCTCACCGCATTTGGCAACCTAAAGGCACATATAAGAGTAGTTCCACATTCTTTAATCATTATTTGCATTAATATCTCTCTTAAATTGTTACATTAATGTGCCTTGAATGAAGTACTCATTGGCTGGTTGCTTTAGCTATTTGGTATTTAATATCTCTTGAGTATTCAATATTTTCTTTATTCTGTCTTACAGATAGTTATTATCGGAAGAGATGTGCCATTTCTGGCAGTTAGGGCTGTGCAGGTGTAGGTTTTCATTTTCATATCTTTCACTTTTTTCTATAAAAATATTTTTTTTTTCTATAAATCACCTATTTTCTAAATGTTTTCAGTATTATTAATAGGAAGTAATTTCACTTAACAGCATGATAGTTTTGCACAAATTTTTTGTTAGCTTAACTATTTAAAAAAATATGGAGTACATGTGTACTCCATACTTTTTTCAGTTAAAATTGCAGGTATTTTGGTTGGAAGGTCCCTGTATCTTTATCTTAATGGGTTTTATTACCATGTATGAATTAATTCTCATTATAATGCTAATGGCTCACTTATACTCATCCTTATAATGTTTGACATTTTGTTACTGGAATAATTTGCTACATTCATGATGATTGCCAGGTGTACTTGGAACAATTTTTGCACTTAATTTTTGCTTTTGATTTTTTCATTTTAATTTAAAAATAACTTGGTGATTTAGCTGATTTGTTATGCCATCAATTGACTTTTAAGTTTGTAGTTTCAGTTTGATGCCAGATAATTTCTATGTGACCATATTACTATACTGCAGAATTTAGAATTCTTGTTTTCATAGATTTTCAGAAAGAAAGCAAAGTTTTTTAATCTTTCACAGATGCAAAATTTTCTTGCCAGGCTATAAGATAAGGAATACTTAGATTCATAATCTTCAATTACTTAAATGTTGCACTGCATTTGATACTAGCTTTATTTTCAATTTTAAGACCATAGATTAATGTTATAGTAATGGAGAAACCTTTGATGTGCATTCTTTTCATGGCCATGGACACTAATGCTCTGGATTTCACAAAATTTAGCACAGGCAATACTGCCTAAAAAAATAAGAATCTACCTCCACCTCTAACTGTACCAAAAAAATAGTCTGTGTTCCTCGATCTGCGAGTAGGTTGGTTCGTTTGACTTTACAGAGATGAGATAAGGCTTGAAGGAGCTTAGGCCAATCACAGTACAGACATAATACAGTTTATAGCATGCAGTGGCTGAAATTCTAAGAATATTTTTTCTCCATCATCCCATTATCATTGCTGTCTAATTAACATGCAACATTTATTTATACTCCTCCCAAAAAAGGCACAAAATATGTTATGACTAAAACACATCAGAATATTGTTCTAGGTTATAGAAGCAAATTCTTTTTAAATTTTAATTTAAAATTTTTTATTTATTAATTTATTTTTTACAGGAAAGTTAACAAAGAGAATTTACAGTTAAGGAGAAAAGAGCTGTGTGAGAAAGCATTGCATATAACCTAAATGTGCAAAAGCAATGCAGAAATGATAAGGGTAAGTGAATTAGATTTTACCTAAAATCCATATAAAAATAAACTGTTTCAAATGCTTAAATTTATAATATGATTAATTTACATTGCAAGGTGAAGAATTTTTTCCCCCACATGTTCGCATTAGAACTATATTGTTCAAGTAATTTATTTTACAGTTAATATCACTAAGAAAGTTATTTCTTTAGTTTAAACAAACAGGAGTAAAATTTGTTCATTCATTGCAGTATTATTGATTGCTGTTGCATTCAGCTGTCACACATACATTAGACTATTTCAGGTTTAGTAATTTATCCTTTAATTAACATGATAGAAAACAATTTTTGAATATAAAATATATGACCAAAATTATAACTATCAGTTCTGCATATATGATTAATTCATATTGTAATTTTTTTTTGTCAGCTGCCCAGGCAGTATAGTGGTTAGGGGAGCCAACTGCAATACCAAAGTACCTGGGTTTGAATACTGGAGAATACATGGTTATAACTCTTTCCCTTCATAAGAGGCAAAGGTGGCCCACCTATTACATGCCTCCATAATAAAGTGTCCATCACTTCTGGCCTTAGTTGTAGCCAAGCCGAAGCTGGCTGAGGGCCCGCCATTTGGGGTGCGTACTTTTAATTTTGGTCATACAATATTAGTAATACTTTTAAAAAATATTACTCTGCAATTATTTTCTTATATATATAAAAATGCTTGTTTTTAAATATTTTCCTTCCCAAATTTTACTCAAAAAAAAAAAAAAAAAAAAAAAAAAAAAAAACCACTATTCTCCCCCTCTTCTGTTTTAGAAGTACTTAAAGCAATAACAATCAATATAAGCCTCCTACAGCTGAAGGAGGTTCTTTTCAAGCCTTCAAAAACTAGCCATGCAAATTTATGCAACTTATGCTTCATCTTCTTGCTTTAGTTGCTTGCTGTATATAGATATATATATATATATATATATACAGAACTTTTTTATTAGGTGTGAATCGATTGGAAATGTGCCATGAGAAACGAAAGAAAGAAGAAACAGCTTGTCCAAAAGAGTTAAATGATCTTAAGAAGAGGTTACTTCATTTAGTTGATAGCATATCCATTTAAGGAATGGTCCTTAAAGAAATAAGTTCAAGGAAGATGTTGATGACTCTGCCAGTAAGGAAGAATCTGTAAGTATTTTAAATTCTGCTCAGTAACAATATGTTGTTAGTTAAATTTTTTCTTTTTTTAAAATCAAGGAATGATTTTAAGTAATTTAAGTAACTACTGCTAAGTGAAATGTTTGAAAAAGTGAGTGCTTATAATTTTTTTTTTCACTCCACACAGAAACAACAAAGGAACAAAATTCATATGCATTGAAACTGAATAACTTTATGTTTATTTCTCCAAATAGTTATACAGTGAAAAGTCTTTAATCCAAACTCGTCGGGACTTCAGCGATTCCGGATTATCGGTTTTTCCGGGTTATAGATCATCAGTTTAAATCTGCCAAGAGGGCATGCAAAAATTATAAAATTAAAATATGAAACCAGAATTTATGAAATAAAGAGCAATTGTGATCTAAAGGGTATCACAATTTACAAAAAAAAAGCTTAATATTTATTTGTTTACTTTATTAAACATTTCTTTCAACGTGCGCATGTGTAAAGCATACATTGCACATAGTCGAAATTAGAAAATTGCAACCAGAAAACTATTTGATGTGCATTCATGATATTTACAAAGACGGAATACATCAAGATGAAATACTACATTTAGTAAGGAATTATAAGTCGAATAAAATAAAAACATCTGCCCTGAAGATAAGGATGGTGCTGACAGATCAACTTACAGTTAATTGCATGGTGCGATGCCCCCCCCCCCCCGAGCAGCGTGACATTGATAAACTGATTTCGGAATATTTGGAGAAACAAAGGATATGCCTTTATCCATTTTTTCTAGCAATTCCACTTTTTGTTTGATGGACATCGAAACATGCTTTCACTTTGTAGATCCTTTGGCAGCTCCAGAAATGGAAATTCTTTTTGACATAATCGAAAGTTTAAGCTTACTTTTATAAAACTGCTCTAACAGTCTGCAAAAAAATCATAAGCCGGATCCAATTAGAAGATTAAGGAACAATGCAATCTGCAACATAAACTGAAATAGATAATTAGATAATTTTAGCTTAGCTTATCCCATCTGTTATACATTAAACGTGCATGCGTCAACGCATATGTGCATGCGTCAACACATGCTCAGAAAGTTTGTAGCTTTGAGGTCCGGATTATGGACGTCCAGATTAAACCTTTTGACTGTATAATAAAGACCTATTAATAGCCAAGAAGCTAAAACCAAAAATGATAGTTCCTTTGAAGTTCTGTTTCTTTTAGTTGTGCAGGCTAGTTGCATGATGGTTTTGTTTTATTTTTCATGTGTAGCATAAATGCATAAATGATTCATTTAGAAACTCTCCTCAATAACATCTGTCTCCTGAGATAGTAAGTTTTAGTATGCTTTGCATAGTTTTCAGTTCCATTTTGCATTTAATAGTAAAATTAATTTATCCAGTAAAATAATAATTGTTGTAGTATTATTTTCTAAATTAATATTTGTTATAGCAGAATTTTATGGTGTTATTACTTGATGAAAAATGAAGATATTTTAGTATTAGCTATTTGATTTTGAATCTTGGAATAAAATATTTTGGTTTAGATTATGTAATGGAAGAAGGTAATTTACACCAAATGTCATGAAAGAAGATTTGGTGCAGATCTTTGCCAGATCTTGAATGTTTTCTACAATATTGTCCATTTACTGGAATTGAAACAAATTTGACATACGTTTATGTGGAATGATTTTTGTAATTTTTTGGGAAAAATTTGTGGAATTATGCGGTAATTGTTGCTCTTATGACATTAAAAATATTTCATTATATATTCAGGAAAAATAGTTAATCCCCCCGGGTTAATAAAGCATAACTGTTTCCTGAGAACTGAAATAGTATTTCTAAATTTCAGTTTCATAGTCAAATATCTGCATAGCTATTACTAGGATTTAATGAATTTCCTTAAAAGAAATTGGAAACATGTTCATTTTTGTCATAAATAGATTTTCCCATGAACGTTTTTCATCTATGATATAGAAATTTAATTATATTATGATTAAAGCAGGTAATTTGTAGAACAAATTTTGCTAAACTAATATTTCAAGCCATTGTAGTGGAGCCTATTAATATAATTTATTTTGGAGATGTGAAAAATATGCAATGCTCCTGCTGAGAGTCAAACTCTGGACCTCCCGAACATGCATTGAGTGTACTTCTATTTACACCACAAAAGCTTTCATTTTTGTCCCATGCGGAAAGGAAAGAGAAACTATCTTACATCATATAAAATGCACATTTTTCTTAGCAACACCAAAATGTATTAAAGGAGAAAACATGAAATTAAAATTGTAGATGATAGAAATTGTATAATGGACATGTAATTTTAACAATGCTTAAGATTTATTAGAGCTGGGAATTGGTTAGTGGAAAGTCACTTGCCTAGTTTTGCATCAGAATTCATGTAGAGACAAGCTGCGAGTTAGGTTAGGAAATTTGAACATTTTAAAGTCACATGGGTTATCTACTTAAAAGGAGAAATGCCTTTATTGTGGAAGACTTTCTGAGGGAAACTGGCTTATACTCATGGTACATATGGTGAAGATCATGAAAACCAATCACGCAGACAGCTCACATGCCTGACTCCATTTTATCACCAAAATATTTAATTTTTCTGTTATTTGCCTTGCAGGTAAAACCATTTGGGTAGATGAAAGCTTTCTAATCAAGCATAACAGAGGATGAGTATTAAAAAATATGACAATAATTGTTTTAGGCATATACTGTCCAGAGGACAAGGAAGAACTGTTTTTCTGAGTGAATGGAAAATGCAAGCATGATATATGGCCGTATATAAAGCATCACATACATCGGAAAACTTCTATAATTTTTACTGATACAGCCAAGCAATATAAAAATGCTGAAAGCATGTTCCCTGCAGTTGTTCACAAGACAACAAATCATAGCAAGGGTAATTAAATACCTTTATGTCTGAATATGTTTATGAATTTACAATTTGTGAATACTTCTTTTACAGGTGATGATTGGTTAATTGTTTACAGTAAGCCTGTGAAAAAATGTATTTATGAAGAACCTTTCTTTTCTTTTTTTCCTTTTCTTATGTTAAATAAGTGAATTTCTTATAAAATCTAAACGAAAGCTAATTCACATATTTCCTTTACAGGTGAATTTGTGGCTAAACATGACAAATTAAATACCACTAATGAGTTAGAAAATGAAAATAAAATGTATAAAAAAAATCACTAATAGACATAACAATCAAAGTCCAAGGCAGTGTATGGCCCTGCATTATTATGAATGTTTCCATTTAGAGCAGTTTTAATATCTTGGTGAAAAAATTTGCCAACTTCTAGAAGACATTAAAACTGTGTATGCTGGCTATGCAAAGAAGGGTTTAGAGCTAAAATTCATAAATGAACCAACAGTGGAAAGTGAGAACATTGAAGATTTAATGCCACCGAAAAACGCTGCCCTTCAAGATGATTAAATGCAGTTAATTGAGGATGGTGATGATGTGTGGGGTAAGAATAAACAATTTTCATTTTATTTCTTTTAAAAACTTGATTCTTTTTCTAAAATGCATCATAAAAAGTAAACAATACGATATAGTGGTTAGAATAGAGTGAAGAGTGCCCCTTGTATTATCGCGAGTTATTGTTTTGTTTATGGTAATCTGAGTAGTTGCATGTTATGAAAACCCTATTATGATGTAATTGGTTGCATGATTGCAGTCAATTGGAATTGTGGGGAATCTGGAAAGTGTGGGTTCTATTTTGGGTAAGAAGTACGTTGTTATTTTGTGCTTTACATGGTAGAATGTGGTAAGATTAATATGAAGTTTCTGTATGATTTGGAACGAAAGGGGAAAGTGCATTAATTGACTGGTGTGTAAATGAAGGTTTACTTAGTAGCCAATACAAGTGCCCTGTTTGTAGGAAGGAAATGTGCATGGTCGAACATCGGAGAATACCGGCACTACGGAGGATATTTTTTACTCTTATCTGGTTATGAACTTATGTGATGTCTATCGGTAAAATCCTAGTATACGGTGCAGCCTTGGATGCTGTTAAGGAATTTTGTGTGCCACAGACTGAAGGACTCAGAAATTTCTAAATAAAGTAAGTGGATATTTGCTTTGTGTAGTGCTTAGATGCATAAGATGACTTTCCTTTTTTATTGTTTGATTTAAAATATAGTTTATTGAGATTATGTATTTTTTGCTTGACTTTACTGTAGAACTGAGTGCTCCTTTGATTTTTTAAGTGAAAATAGACTGATGTGTACATGGACAAAGTCAAGGGAATGCACAATGTCAAGTTTGTGCAATTCTCTGATGTTTCTTAAGTGACTATAGGTCGATGTGCACATGGATAAAGTCAAGGGAGTGCGCAATGGCAAGTTTGTGCAGTTATCTGATTTTTTTTAAGTGAACATAGGTTGATGTGTACATGGATACTGAGTTTATGCAATTCTTTAACTTGTTATTTTGTATTTGTGGAGAGCCAAAATAACAAGTCAAAGAATTGCACAAACTCGTTATCCATGTACCTCCAACTATCGCCAAGGGGCACCAGTAAATATATTTTTACTGATACAGCATTTTAATTATTATCTGCTTATTTTTATCTATAAATATGAGAGCTTTAAAGGCTGATAAAACATGTCAAAGGTAACAGGTTGCATAACACAAGCCAGTGTAAAATGTAAATGCAGAAGTCAGACAGTTTTTTAAAAGCAGTCATTGACCAAAACTAGCATTTGGTATTAACAACAGCTGTTCAAATGAACAACCAGCAACTATACTGTGCTATATGCACCACAACTACAGTGGGTTTCTTTTAAGAGACATAGATTGATTCTCCTGAAAAACATATCAGCACAATTAGTGTGAATGCTGGAGAAGTACACAACATGGGCATTTTTTAAAGTGCATGCCAGCTACTTCTTCACTGTTGTGATTTTATGTATTGGAGTTGACCATTTTTAACTTCAACAATTCTTGTAAATAACCATAATTGAAACAACTTTTCATCTTCCATGTATTGTGTTTCCATGTTGACATTTGACAATATAGGATGACAATTATTAATTTTGCCATCTTCTATCATCCCTTAAACTTGTGACCATAAATTTTGTTATGCCCCATATATAGAGAGAGAGGGGGGGGAGAGAGCTTTTCAAATAAATAAATAAATGCATGCAAGTATTTCAATTTCATTTCAGAGTATGGAAATTAAAAATCATGCAGCCTTTTCATAAAGAAATACAGCAGAATTACTGGTTAGAAAATGTGATTTATTCTCTAAGTATTTTGTAAGTACTAAATGTAAATATATACAGCAGGTGCTTACAGAACTATTTCTAGGTCATTTAATTATGTTTAAAATATAAAGAGTGTTTTTTTAAATGTTTGATCTAATAGCCTTTTTTTTTTTTTTTTTCTGGGCAAGTCTGCATTGTGATTTCTCAGAAGGAAGAGCTTTTCATAACATTTCCATGGGTATTGATTTTCATTCCTCTTCCATTCCTTTCCAGAGTTCATCATTTGTGGTGGCTTTGCACTTAGAAAGAGCTCTTTAAGAGACCGGCACAGTAGTCTATCTGTGAAATGTGAGGGAACTTCGTATGAATACATTGAAAAGATTATATAAGCCTGTATGTCTTCATTTTTTTTTTCAACAAAAGCAATAGTACTTCTTAACATATGACTTGTTTCTTTTCCTTGATGCAGATTCTGCCTTTGAAAATCACTGAAATAAAGAAATGAAATTTCTTCTGTAAATATTGGATATAAAAACTTTCTCTTGAGAATACATTAATTTAAAGATTTTTACCCCTCTTATTATTAATTTCCTGACAGAAAATCCCTGTTGTTGTAAGAGAATCCTACAATAATCAGAAAACCCGTATTGTAACTTCCTTTGCATTGTGATGGAACCATGTTTGTAAATGTTTTTTCTCTTCATTTTTGATAATAAGTAGACCTTTTTCTGTTGCACACATGCTTCATCAAAGATCACTTCAAAAGTTATCCTCTGCTAAATAGTTTTTGTATGGGGTTTTACAGATTGTTCTGTTTTGAGCTAAATGCCTCAGTGAAAGCTGGTGAACATTACGATTTTTAGCTTCTTTAAGGGTACTTTTTTGTTATCAGGATGCTTCAAAAATATATGTATGTATGTATGCACATGTGCATATACAGATGGAGGACAAAATAATGCAAACACCTGCACAAAAGTATGACGTATTTCACACCTGCAGTACAGCTACGCCACCTGCAACAGAAGTCTGCCACCTAGTTTAGTGTGAAGAGGAAGGTATCAGTCTCTCAACAGCAGTCACCTGTGTTGCATGCTTTGATCGAACTGTCTGTGAGAAGTTGAAATGTCAGACCTGTCATAGTTCCAAAGAGGAATGATAGTTGGAGTGTGTTTAAGTGGAGCATCGGTTACGGAAACAGCAAACCTTGTGAGGTTTGGAAGAGGTATCAGCCGTTATGACAGCATACATGAAAGAGGGTAAGACGACGTTTTCAACGCACAACAGTGGACGAAAGTCAAAGCTGGCTGATAGGGCTAGACGGGTCTTGAAGCGCATAGTAGCCTGAAAGTACAAGCAATTGTTATCTGAGATAACATCCGAAATAAACAGTCATTTCTAGAACCCCGTTTCAACAAAAACTGTCAAAAGCTGCGAACGTTTATGGCAGAGTGGCAATTCGTAAACCCTTGGTTGAGAGCAACTAATGCTTTAAGCGATGCTAATTGTGCAGAGATCACAAAGGCTGGTCCCCACAGCAGGGGCAACAGGTAATAGGGTCAGATGAATTGTCATTCACCCTATTTCAGACAACCGGACGCGTTTATGTTGGAGAACGCCCAAAGAAGCGTTTCATCCTGACTGCCTCTTGCCGACTGTGAAGCATGGAGTGGCGCTATTATGGTATAGGATGTGATTTCTTGGCACGGTCTTGGGCCATTTGTTATTCGGCATGGGAGGATCTAATCCAATCACTATCTAAGCATTCTAGGGGATCATGTGCATCCTTTTATCCAGACTGTATTCCCTGGGGAGCGACTGCTTTTTCAAGATGACAACGCCCCCATCTACACTGCTAGGTGTATTCAAGAATGGTTCGAAGAGCATGATAATGCAATTGAACATCTCGCTTGGCCCCCTCAGTCTCCGTACTTGAATATTATTAAACATTTATGGGCATATTTGGAGTCCAAACTTCGTTCCCAATTTCCACCTCCATTCGGACTTTTGGAATTAGAGACCACTCTGCAGGAGGAATGGCTTAATATTCCTTTAAATATTGTCCATAACCTTTATGCATCTATCCCACGTCGCATTCAATTTGTACTTCAGTCCAAGGGTGGTCCAACCCCCTATTAATAAAGATTTTCCATTATTTCACAATTGTTCCTATTATTTTGTCCTCCATCTGTATGTGTGTGTATCTATATACATACATATACTTACATATATACATATATAAATGCATACATGGACACATCCATCCACACATACATTTCTGAAGCCTGCCCTGATAACAGAAGAGTACCTCTTTAAGTTGTAAATCCTGGTTTATCATGTTATTTATTGTCACCTCAGTTGCTTGCAATTGATTTCTGTATTAGTGGATTTTCTCTTGCTGCCAGCAATTTGAATTTAAAAACAAAACAAACTATTTGTTTAGTATTCATTTGAAATCTCCTTTCCATGTAGAAGTAATGACTGATGGTTTACCTTTTTGTTTAATAATGTTGCCTATTTTGCACTTAAAAAAATTTAATACCATGCATTTCACAATCTTTTTACTTCCTTGTACGAAGTAAAAAGGAAGTATTGTAATCGCGAAAAGTTTCAGGCAGCATATTTCAATGAAAATATCCATTTTGACTGCTATCGAATGCAATTTAACGATGGTTTTGCATGATATCTGTACGTGAGGACAGAATAAAAGACTCGTTTCCTTCAAAAAAATTATAAAACTGCTTTAAAATTAATTCTGAAGAGAATTTTCGTGGCATCTGTACAAACGTATGTACGTACTTGCGTATGTACGTATCTCGCATAACTCAAAAACGAGTAGCCTCAGAACATTGAAATTTTGTATATCGGACTGCTATAACATGTAGATGTGCAACTCGTATTTTGGTTGCAATCGGCTGCACCAAACGTATATAAATATATTTATATACTATATATCCACTTTGTTACCCACCTCAGTGATCTCGGTTTCTTTACTCTTATATGTTTGTAAATTGTACATTTTTTGCTTTAAAAATGATTGAATTATGTTGTTTTTATCTTCTGGTTAAGGATTTTATGCCTTTAGTAAATCTGTGTGCAATATTTTTAGAATTATCAGCAATTTTAAAGTTGTTTAATTGCCGCTAAGCCTGTTTATAATGGCGGCCATTGAGGTTTACATTTGAAACAGGAGACTAGTGGATTTGTTGCCAATCTAGAGAAACTTAGCTTCACAACAACAAAGATAACGCATTCATTTATTATTGCCAATTAAATCATGCTTAATTCTTTCTGGAATTTTTTCAAGGAAATAAGTGTTTGAGATTTACTTCGTAATTTTTAATATAGATATTTTGAGTTTTTATGTATTTTTGCCTTCTCGTGAAGTGAGAACTGAATTAATTCAATGAGAAATACTCAATCCTCTGAGAAAAACTGTTTCTTTTTTGTTTTGTTTGCTTAATTTCTTTTATACATCGTTCTAGCTTTATTGTAGTATTTGAATAGAACATGTGGTAACGATTAGATAATTCTATTCTTTAAATGATATAAATTTTGTGCATTCTGAGTTATAATATGAACGAAATATAATACTGAATACTGTTAAGTAAACCTAGCGCCAGAGTGTCGCTATGGTAAACAAAGGGAATTTTAAAGAATGCATTTAATCTATTGTGGTTTATGCGCTGTCGGCGAAGTAGGTTTAATTCAATCTAATAAGTTTAAATAAAATGCAAGGAAAAATGTATAATTTAATATTCCGTACAAGGAAGTCATGTGGTGTACACATCAGATTTTTTAATTGTGGAATAGGAATATGTCTCTTTGGAAAGCACAAAAACATAGCCTTCAATTACAGCCTTTGTACATGCAACATTTTGAAATAGGAATAAATTTAAAAGCTGCGGGTGATATTTTTTATTTTCAAATAATAAGTTGTTGACAGAAAGTTTTATTAAAAAATATTTGCTTTTTTAAAATTCTGATCAAAATGATTTTATAAATATGTAAGTATGTAAAAAAATATGTTATTTTCCTTGTAATAGTAATTTGACCTTTAGGATATCTTGACTTGGGAAGTCTCAAATAAGCTGCTTTCGCACATTTTTTTTCCGCTGTCTTGAATCACAAAAAATTGCCAAATCCTCTGGAGGAATTTTATAATGCTAAGAGGGAAATGATGTCAAAAGGCTGTTCTCCAAAATTCCTCCTTCGGCCTGATATAAGGAAAAAAACTTTGCTGGGCAAAAATTGCAAACCCATTGCAAAGTGTCTACATGTAAAAAGACAATATCCCTTCCCTTTTTCCTCTCTCCCTGTCTTAATCAACATCTGAACTAGACCCTGAAACGCTCTTCCCACTGTTTGGCGCGTATTGCCCAAGTTGCCGAACGGAATTTCAGGAAGCTCGCCAAGTGCTGGTTATCTGAGTATCCCCCTATGGACTGCTGATATGATCTAAAAGAAAAAAATTGTAAGGCACAAACTAACTGAAGTTATAGCAGTTATTTATAACTTTGGCAATGGTATATAAAATTAGCAATATGTGTCAATATATTTTGAACTGGTATTTTGTGACATATGTATAAGTTTGCAAGATCTGTCTAGCAAATGTAGCTCCAGATAGTCTTTCATCTCATCACATATTATTTTGATAAATTTTAGTATTCTAAAATGCCTAACATGTAAAATAAAGACATGTTAGGCAAAAGTAAAAGCATCATTATGTTTTGATAAATTCTCTATTGTTTCAGAGATTTATGGCCTTATTTTTTATTTAAATTAGAAAAAATTAGCAATAAAAGTTAGCAAGTTGATGATGGCATACAGAACCTTCAAGAATTTGAAATGCCAACTGCATAAATCTTACTGATGATGTTACAACCGTTTTCCTGCATTTTGTACCACTTTTGTACTTAAAGAGAATGGGATGTTGGACAGACTTGCTTTTCACTAGCATTGACATCTGGTAGCCCACAAACTGTAGGAAACTCTTGTAGTGTAAAATCTAGGCATTGGGATCCTTAACTGGATCAGTCCTTCTGCCATATATTAAGCCTTGTCAGCTTACTAATTGCTAATTTGCTGATTGTTGAAACTTGCAGGTACTTGGTTAGTTGTATGTATATATTTTTATATTTATAAAATGAGAATATATATTACTTGGATTCCTTTAATCAGTTTCAAATTCTTTTTAAAAATATTTTAAATCCACTTTTATATGAGTATAATTTTTGATTGTATATAAAATTTAAGGATCATTAAAAGTGAAAATCTGAAATATAAAACAAACTTACTTACCTGTATTTTTTCTTATTCTTTAGGTTACTAACTGATGATGAAACTCAACTGAGATGTCTTGCAATAGTTAATGGGGACAAGCAGCTCTATTTTTATTTAACTTTTTTTTTAATACTGTACCAGTTTTAAATATTACATCATTTCATAAGGGATTTTGGAGAGATTTGAAACAATTATAGATCTGAAATATCAGCCATATATTAAAAGCTATGACAAAAGGAATGATTCTTTTGGCAAGTTATATCATAAATTTTTACCCAAATATACCACAAAAAAGTATAAAACTTTCAATTTGTTCAACCAAACATCATAAAGCTTATTCTTCTTTATAAAATGCATCTGGAATTAAACATTTTTACATTTGTTTTAAGTGTTTAGAAACTTTCATCTTAAATGTTGAAATTTTATTGTGGATTTGGTAAATTTGTATTATGACAATGAATTATAAACATCTAATTGATCTCAATATAAGTTTTTTTTATAAAATTAAAAATGCGCTTCAGAAAACTATATCCATCTAATTTATGCAGTATAATATTTAATAAATAAAATAATTTATTACTTTTTCTTTAATTTTTATGCTAAAAGAAAATATGATTATTTTGGTTTATTGTAAAGTATGAAACTTAATTATCTTTAAAGGTATTTTCATATTATTCTCCTGTGTTTGAGACTGTTTTATGTGAAAGCACTCTATTACCTTCATCTCAAAATGTGAAAGCACTATGTTTCCTTCATCCCGAAACAGCTTCATTAGAGCAGAGCTATCTTATATGCTTGAATATTTTATATATTCTGACCAGTATGGTAAATAAAACAGAATTCACAGTACAGCCTCCAGTTTATAATTTTGAAATACTATTATAATTAATGTTAAATTTAAAACTTTATAGTTTTCATATATAGAGCATAATTACTTCCTTTTTATTATTGTCTTTCTGTTATTTAAATGACATCAAGATTTTCATCACATTTTTATTGAGAAAAATGGACATAGCAACCATATTTACTTCTCTTTTAAGCATATACCCATTTTTTTCTGGACTGTAAGTCTTCGCCTTGATTTCCATAATAGGAGGGCTTTTTGTAAAATTTCCTGGGGCTTTGATTTCTTTTCTCTTTTCATTACATTCTGAGGTCCATCAATTATTTTTGGTTTGACGTTAGAAAAAGCTGCTTTCAAGAGACCACATGTCTATAGTCTATAGGTTAAATATTGGGGAACTGTGTAGGAATACATTGGAAATGTATACATGTAATAACTTTATCAGTCTTAATTTTTCTAGGAATGCAATGATACTTTTTGAAATATGACATGTTGCTTTATCTTGATGAAATTTCACCCTATGAGAGTCATTGGGATAAAGAAGTGGAATTTTTTCTGTAGGTATTAGACATAAAGCTTTCTCTTGATAGTATGTTGTTGATTTTAACATTTTCCCCATTCTTCTTATTTTTAATGCCCTTTTGCAAGCGAATTCTGCAACCTGTACTTCATTAATGATCACTATATGTTTCCATTTGTCTCCCGCTAAATAGTTTTCATACAGGGTTCTACAAATTGTTCAGTGTTGTGCCACGTACTTCAGTAAAACTAGTGAACGTTATGTTTTTAAGTTTTTTTAAATTGTAAAAATTAGTTCATTATTTTATTTTTTGTTGCTACAGATGTATTTAAAGACTTTGCAACTCATTTCTGCATCAGTGGATTTTCATTTGTTACCAACAATTTAACTTCAGAAACAGTATGTACCTTTTTCAGGTCTTTGTATTTTAAGTCTTTGTTGGAGTAATGATTGACAGTTTTCCCCTTTCCAATTAATAGTATTGCATATTTTGCATTTTGAAATTTTAATAATATGCATTTCACAACATTTTTTAATTATTGATTAGGAATATTTCTCTTCAGGAAGCACAACAACCTATCCTTCAATCCACAGATTGTTTTCATGTGACATTTTGAAAGAATAAATTTAAAAGGACAGTCAAAATTTCTCATTGCAAATAATGAGCTGTTGCCAGAAATTTTTATTCCAAAACATTTGCTCTTTAAAATTCTTTATTGAAATTATTTTAAAAGTATGTAAGCACTCTCTGGGAATCTGATGTATTTTATGCTACATTTATGCACTGGAAATATGTATTTCTTGGTCTTATTTCCTTTTGTATTGCACACTGTTTATCAATTTAGTTTTCATTGTGTTAAATTGATAATCCACAGATATTCTTATATATTTATTGTATCATAATATTGACCAATTTGCAAACCTGAGAAATGCAACTATTAATTTCTTTGCTTATTTTAAAATTATTTTAATCATATTTAACAGTTCTAGATGTAAGAATTTTCTAAATATTTATGTTATGTGTTCCATAATAGGAAGAGGAATATTTATGTATGCAACAGGTTTTTAGAACAAGTTCATATATAAATATTTAATTCTAATTTCTTTTGAAGCATGGTATTCCATGTTAAGACTTTTTTTTAAACATTTTTCATTGTTTGAATTTTGCACCTAATATTGTTCTGCTTTATTTTATTTTTGAATTAAAATTGTATTTAAAATTTATTCAAACTTTTATTAACTGGTTTTAACTTTTTTTGCCTTTAATAATTTTATCTTGCCTGTATGTCACTCTAGGTTTCTATTTTTTAAACTTATAATGCTATAATATGCATTTTATTAATGTATTCATTCATTATTCATTTTCTTATTTGACTTCATTGCATTTTGGCCACTTTTTATTGAGAGGATTAAAAAATATGTATCTCCTCCATGTTTATAATATGCATTTTATTAATGTATTCATTCATTATCATTTTCTTATTTGACTTCATTGCATTTTGGCCACTTTTTATTGAGAGGATTAAAAAATATGTATCTCCTCCATGTTAATTTATATAAATAATAATATAGATTTTTATTAATTCATATTCATTGTGTGTTTTCATTTCTTTTATTATTTGACTTTATTGCATTTTGGCCATCATTTGATAAGGAAGTGAAAAAGCTGTACCTTACTTTTTCATAGACTATATGATTTATAAAAAAGAAAATCTTATGTTATTTGCAAGCATTTTACATGCTTTAACTGTGAGATTGAGTAAAAAGGAATTAAAGCACAATTTATTATATTTTTAAATTTTCTACAATTCATTTCATTACTTTTCAGTATTATGTAGCCTTTTATGTTTTGATGACATTACGTTCAAAATTACCAAGCATTTATTTTTTAATAATATTCACTGAATATTTTTCTTCATTAAGTTATTTCATGAAGTATAACAACAAACACCAACACTATCTCCAAATTTGGCAAAGGGGTGCTATATCATGTTCTATAAATGGCACTGAACCCATTTGCCGGTGCCACAAAATTAAAATATATGTGGATCTTTGTAGGCACAGTTGTTGGCCATTCTAGACCTAATAATTTTTTAAATATTGATGTTATGTTGTTGTTGTTGTCAAGTTCATATAACATGGAAGAATGGTTGTCAGAGCCTACTCCAAAGAGAGGTTGGACTTCTATTCCCCCCCCCAATTTTGATGAAGAGTGGTCGGGGGTGTTCCGTCGTCTCACCCCTCTTCCCTTCCACCGACCACACGAGAGGACTTTTGGCTCACTGCATATTTAGAATGCTCCCATGTTGCATGGACACTATACGTTTACAATGACCCATGTCTTCTCCAGGATTCATACCCGGGCCTTTTGGTACCACAGTAGGCCGCCCTAACCACTATACTGTCTGGGTGACTATTGATGTTATGAGCTCCATAATACAAGTGTGCAGTATGATCCTATGGTATAGAAATGAATGCTGTAAAAATTGAAAATTTACTCTGAGCCTGAGTAATAGCTGTTGTTTTCCTGTAATATTTCTGAGAAACCTTATTACTAAAGCATAGGAAGTAAAGATATTTATTAATAGATATCACAAACAAACAACAGCAGCAGCAGCTTAAAAGGAATATCCTAATAATAAAATTAAAAAGATGGAGGGAAGAGTTTCAAATTTTTATAGCAAAACAAAATGCTATTCTGCCTAATTTGTTTGAATGAAATAGCCAATAAATAAAGCAAACGAGAGAAAAAAATATAAAACACTCACAGAAGCTGCATACACAAACCGTCTGTGGGACTTGGGGATGTAAGTTGTTTAAGTTGCTTCATTTCATGTGATAATACTTTCTCTTTAATTCTATTAAACAGACATAATTTCTTGTTTAGTTACAAAGTTCCGCTGTTCAAGTCCTATAATTGCTGTATCGAGAATACCGACTAATTTGTCAATCGAAATTTTTTCGTTTTCAATAACGTCTATCACCGCTATCGGAAGTGAATTATAATGACGAGGAACTTGTTTTAAATCATATCAAAGACGGAGTACATCGAGATGAAATACTACATTTAGTAAGGAATTATAAGCCAAATGAAATGAAAACATCTGCCCTGAAGATAAGGATAGTGCTGACAGATCAACTTCCAATTCATTGCGCGCCGCGGCGTTACCCCCGCCGAGCAGCGTGAAATTGATAAACAGATGTCGGATTTTGAAACATACCTTCGCTTTAGATGCTTTACATATTAGCAAATATATATCGGAAATTCTATTTGATATAATCGAAAGTTCAAGCTTACTTTTATAAAATTGCTCTAACAGTCTGCAAAAAATAATAAGCCGGATCCAATTCGAAGATTAAGGAACAACACAATCTGCAACATTAACTGAATTAGATAATTTTAGCTTAGCTTATACCGTCCATTATACATTAAATGCGCATGCACACACGCATATTCACAGCCGTAAAGATCTTACGTGCACACGTAAAGGCCTATGCGCATTCGTCAATGTGATGCATGCGCAGAAAGTTTGTAGCTTTGAGGTCCAGATTATAGATCATTCCGGATTATGGTTGTCCGAATTAACGACTCTTCAAAGTTATCAAAACTAGTCGTAGCCACATAAAATTATTCTTTCAACTTCCTGACTATTTCTTGAACTATCTGTTTAAGATAATCCAAGTAATGTGCTATAGTAGCATCTAGTAAAAATGGGTGAGAAGCTACTCTGAATGGTACTGTACAGTGTGGATAGATCACTACATAATTTGGATTGCCATGATGCCATTAATTTGTAATGCTAAGAACTGAGTATCAGAATATAGAAGTAGTTTACTGTCTATCTATTTTCAAGCAAATAGTTCATCATAAGGCCGGCAAATAGTTCATCATTCAATTAATCCACTAGCAGGTTTTCAAACACAAAACTTTATTTGATAAAAATACCGAGAAATATACATAACTTAATAAAAGGTGGGCCAGAGCTGCTGTAACTGGTAAACTATAAGAATTTTATAATTCTTCCATTTGCTTGCATAATTTGTTTTGTTTACTACTACTAGTTTAAAACTAAACATATGTATCATTCATACACTATCAATCAACAACCTCTGCTCAGTCAATTTGTAGTTTAATATCAACCATATTGAACTAGGAGTGTAATCCTTAAAGCAAAATTTCAAAACTTTTCTCCGATTTACTATACAGTACAAGAAATGTTCCAAACTTTTCTCTCATTTACTATACAGTAAAAAAAAAAAAAAAAAAAAAAAATGTGAAATCTGAATATCCAGCATACAAAATGATCTAAAATCCAGACCACTAGGCAATAAATAAATAAAGTAATGCAAATTCCCCTTCCCCCATTATAAAATCCAGGATTGAAGAATACAATACTCAGCAGAAGGAAGCAGGTATGCTGTGAATGCTTTTTTCTCTGGTCTAGCTGAAATTCCTGCATGCCACTTTCAAACACCTGCTGGCTAAGAGTGCACCATAACCAATGACAGAAGTAGGCAAGACACCAGAATTTCACCATTAGTTTTACAGGTATAATCCCGCTGCACTAACTGCACAATTCTACCCAATTTTGAGGGCAAATAATTTGAGGGGCAGTCGGAAGGTCTCCCACCACTCTTTCCATACCACCAACCTGTTGACAGGACTTTCAGCTCCCAGTGTATTTTGAGTACTCCTTTGCTGCACAGTTAATATACCCTTACAAAACATGCATTACTTTTCTAAGATTTGAACCCAGGCCCATTGGTACAAGAGTCAGCATAACTAACTACTATATTGGCTGGGTGGCTGTTGCTAGTACCAATACATTGCTGTTTTATAGATACTGGCTAGTATCTCACTTTCAGCACTTGAGTGGTTATGGGGGAAGAGAGGCAAGACCAGCGCTATGAAATTTGCTTGCTGGTGGAATCACTGTGGGTTCTAAATTCTGCTGCCTAAATTATAAAGATTTTAATTCTCTTACCGATTCCCTGTTCTAAAGTCTAAAAAAAAAAATTGCTATCCCTAATTTTTGCTACTTGGTGCCCTTCTAAATTCTAAAATTTTTGCTCCCCAATGCCGCCTCACCACCCTTGATGATTAGTTGATTTCTTCTATCTGATGTAAGCAATAAGTGTTATTACCATGTGTATATGACATTCTTACTAGATTAAAATTGATGATCTAAAATCTGGAACTGCCGAATTTCCAATGATCTTTGTAAATGTTGTATGGATCTTTGTAAATGTCTAACTACATTTGGAGTATAGTGTCAGTTCAAATATTGCATTGGATTTTTAAGGACTGGTCTACAAAATATTTGATAGAAGAGAAAGTGTGGAGTTCCAATTTACTTCTGATTCAGGAAGTTTTGTAAAAAAAATTCAGAATAGTCCTTAATAAGTTGACCTTGTAAATTTATTCATTGTTCTTGTACAGACAGATTTGTAACTCAGAAAGAGATCAGAAGAGTGCTGGCTTATTAAATAAGCTCTGGTCTGTACATAGAAAAACCAATACCTGGTCAGTGGATTGCGAAACAGAGTAGGGCAGCTGAGCTGATGGAAATGGAATTATGGTCTGTGACTGTGGAAATATATTTCTTGAATATTAGAAGGTTCCATGTTTCCTGCAGCTAACTCTAAACACCACAGTTTGTAGATCTTTCCTTATTGTTCGCTCATTGATGTCTGCTGTGTTCCGTGACGCGGATGGTCCTTTTCATCAGAACAATGGGCATTTTTGTTGTTACCAAATTAGCTAATACAGTGAAGGAACAACATCAGTACCTTGTTGAAATCTGGACTTAGAAGAATATCGGTTGTGATCAAGGAAAATGGTTTATTCTAAAGTGTCTCTAGTTATTTTGTCTACTCTGTTTGCCTAGGTATGTCAATTTCGCGTCCCTCAGAAATCCTCGATTTTAAACCTTTTTCGTTATAAAAATTAATTAAAGCAAAGCATGCATGGTCTTGAATTTGAAAATAAGAATTGGTTATTTCTCCGGAAGAGGATAATTATGATTTAGATAAATTAAACTTTTTTTTACTAATAAGTAATGTTTCAAATCATGTCTACATTCAGAGTCAAATTCAAATTGTAGAAGTTAAGTAACACATTAAGAGTAACAGTTTAATTCATGAGCACTTTAACTGCAGAAATTTATATAAGCCGCTAAAAGGTGTTGATTGACATTTTATTACAAGATTTCAGTAGTTAATTTTTAGAATTAAAGAAACATTAAAAAAAAGTTCCTTTCGGTATATTTGCTACTTCATTTTTAATTCATATTGAACCTATCGGTCAATTTGCAGATGGAATGTAGAAAGGTGGTATGATTATGGTGTACCTACCCTAAAGGAACAGTTACTGTGCTGCATGAGCATTCCCTGTTTGTGACCAATCTTTTTGTAAGCAAGTATTTTTGTGAAGAACTTGCTGTATAAAGCATAGAAAAGTAAAAAAAGAGCAAATTTTTCTAACAAGCCTTTGGAATATATGTTTCACAATTGCCAACATATCTCTCTCAGTCCTAAGTTTTAAAAAGATAAACATCCCTGATATACAGGATGATTCAATTAAACATATACACATTTCTGGGAAGGTTAGGTTGCGCAAAGACAAATCTCAATCATATAGCAGTAAAACGTCAGAACCACTGCATCCGTTAGATAGCATTTTTTAATCTAGAGACTGCAGTATGTTCTTTTAGGAAACTTTTATAAACCTGCCGTAGAGGCTGTAAGTTTGATGTCCTGAAATTGGAATCATGACAAGCCAAATCTATCGGGACGTCA